AAATTAGATAAATCTCAAAGCCCTGGGTCGACCAAGAAGAACTTTTACTTTCAATAACTTTCTCTTCTTCCTCCTGCGCATACTTGCCCGGCTGTCAACTTCTTTGTGGCGGCCATTACGGACCGCCGCTGCACCGTCCTGGTAACAGGGGGTTCTGCCGGCCAGGGAGGGGGTCTGCAACACCCCCAAACCCTTCCTCCGGATCCCCCTTACCTTCAGCTACCCCTGCAGGGCAGCCTTGCTCCGCACCCGTCCGGGTCGGAGCCCCAAAACGGCTAGCGCGGCAGGGATCGCGCAGCTTCGCGAATCCCTACCGCTCGCGAAGCCGACAAACCGGAAACCTCGCCCCATATAGTTTAGATAGATCATGTTTATTGTCGTATTTTTATTGTGAGCGCACTGGCCCAGATTAAAAATAAAATTATGTTGCCTGCTCTCAAGAGAAAGTGTGTATCTACCCAAATTCATACGTAATATACAATGTGTACAGTACATACATAAATATATACCTGCAACACACACACACACACACACACACACACACACACACACAGATTGAGAGACTCCCAATTGAAATATTCCATCTGACCTCTCAGGAAGGATCTAGTACAACTTGCTGTGGCCATCTCACCATGGCCATCTCACCATGGCCAACTCTGCATGGCCAACTCACTATGGCCAACTCTCCATGGCCATTTCACCATGGCCAACTCACCATGGCCAACTCATCATGGCAAACTCATCATGGCAAACTCAATATAGCCAACTCACTACAGGACAACTTGCTGCAGGACAAGAAGTGGTGAAATAGAATTATTAACGAAAGGATGTGTCAAGGCTGACTTGTAAACTCCACAACATAAATGAAAGGAGGGGCAGGGGAATGCTTGGAATGTATTGGGAGCTGAGAGGGACATAAGGAATTTATTTCATCCATTTGCAGGCTGAGAAAATCTTGCCACTTCAAGGCCATGGGATGGGAACCTTCTGAAGGCGCAGACTGTTTACCCAAAAATAAAAATAACATATTGGATTGGTGGACAATGGACATATGGGTGGCCCCCATGGTATAAAGGGGAAATTGACTATGCTGTTTCTTGCGCGAAAACTTTAGAGCTAGCTTTGCTTCTTCTGTGCTTGTACGGATCTATCCGTAAAGTTCTACTCTTGGTAAAATAATGTCCCTGGAGTTTCTTTTGCTGCATATGCCAATGGGACGGTTGACAGGACACTAAAGGAGGGACAAAACAAAATGGGAATGACAAAAATAAGAACAATTTTAAAATTATTTTAAAAAATTAAATGGAAAATTAAGATTAATTAAGTTGAATTGCCGCACAGCAAGTTGTCCTGTAGTGAGTTGGCTGTGGTGAGTTGGCCACTGCGAGTTGGCTGTAATGAGTTGGCCATGGCAAATTGGCCAAGGCAAGTTGGCCAAGGTTAAATTATCCCAGTCTTTGGAAATATCTATTCTTGTTTTCAGTAGGGTCATAATTCCCATTTTTTCTAGTGAAGTCAAAACAGGATGTCATAAGGTTGGAGTGTCTTGGAGTTAGAATATTGCGTATGCACACTTTTAATCTTTCCCTCCCTCCAGTATACATAGACACAGATTCATGTTCACATATAACATTTAGAAATTAACATTTAGAAACCATACTAAAGTTCTAGAGCAAAACAGTAGGCAAAATGTTTAGGATCTGGAATTTAAGGAGTCATTTTTATTTACATGTCATTCTAGAATTGCACATAATGTGAACAATATCTCTCCTAGTTTGCAACGTAGAGGCCTAAGGCACTTTATAGGTAGTTGATAGGCAGAAGGTATCGTAATAATTACTTTATATTATCAAATTGACACTATTTAGAAAAAAATATCTCTAATGAAGTTGGATGAGTCCTACTGCCATGCAATAGAGGTAAGGGAATTTCACTCCCAAATAACATCTAATCTCAGTCAGTTTAGCTCAATTATGGTCATAAGTAGAGGACTATCTGGATTAGGGGAATATCCTGTTTGTAGCAAACACCCAGATTATGCTAAATGTACTATCCTCCTTCAGCCTTGCCCAGAAAAAAAAAAATTGTAATAAATTCATCTGAAGCACCAAGGACCAATTATAAGTCATCTTTTCCAGTATTGTTGTAACTTCAATCATTACCTTTTAATGACCCCATAATCCCTTGCTGGGTGGAGTCTGGGCAACTGAATGGAACTGAGTGTTTAATGGCCTTTCCTGTTGCCAATGCAGAGTTATATTCAGCGGATATATTCTCAACATGCACACAGAGAAAAATATCTGCCTCTGCCTAGGATTGAACTCACAGCCTCCTGATTGTGAGGCGAGAGCTCCATCTACTAGGCCACCACACCACTCTCTTGTGGTAACTTCAATGAATGGTTCAAGTCAAGGACTTCTTGTATGTTCCTGTTCTCATGCCATGAAACATGTGTTAGTCAGCTTTCTATCACACTTCAACACAACCATAGAGGAACCCAAAAAGGGAAGAAGATGGCAGCCATCGAGGGATCACCCTCTTGACTTTTTACAGCCATCCTCCCAGCAGGCACCTAGGATCATCTTCCATGGATTTGGCCATTCAAAGAACCATCATTGTTGGAAAAGGCAGGGTTGATCCCACCAATCTTACCTGTGTTCGTGAGGTATGGTCGAATTCCAGGCTTGGCATTCGATCCCACTTTTTGTGACTGATATGTTTCCCTTGTACGTTGCTCCTTTCCCAATAATGCAATTTCGAACATAGTCTGTTAGAATCAATGAAAACAAAGCCAAAAAGAAGGTGAACGTTTTCTGAAGAGCAGGTATACAAACTTAGCAGGTGATCGATGCCTTGAAATGTCTGTTTCAATCGATTTCTGATAAGGTTACCTAGTTGGGTTATGAAACGTCTGCAAGAAAACAACCAAGCTTAGAGAGCACCAAGGACCCCACAGTCCTTCTCCTCCTCTACTTCCACCTCCTTCTCTCTTCTCCTCTCTCTTCTTCTTCCTCCTCCTCCTCCCTCCTCTCTCCTGTTTCCTCCTCCTCTCTCCTCCTTCTCTTTCTCCTCCCCTCTTCTCTCCTCTCTCCTCCCCCTCCTCCCCTCCTCCTCCTCCTGTTTTCTTCTCCTCTTTCCTCCTCCTCTCTCTTGTTTCCTTCTCCTGTCCTCCTCCTCTTCCTCCACCTCCTCCTCTCTTCTCTCCTCCTCCCTTCCTCCTCCTCCTCCACTGAAGTTGTCACCATGGCGGATAAGGAAACATCTTCAAGAAAACAATCAAGCTTAGAGAGCACCAAAGACCCCACCGTTCAACCCTGAGCGACAAATAGTCTGTTCTAATAGTGGAATCAAATAAGCTTCCATGGGGACAAGGAAAACCCTCCTCCCCTTCCACTTTATCCATAGCCCACAGTACCACCTGCTTTGCATAATCACATGAAACTCTTGTCCAACAAAAAAAAAATGTCTTAGCTCTGTAGCATCCAAGTTAGCCACTTACATACCTTTCTTTTCATAGAGAATGAATGTGTTGTCATGTTTTTTCCTGACTCCATTTTCTAGGCTAGTAAAAGATAACCAATGGCAACGTTTGGCTGTTTTGTCAAATGCAAAAGCCCTGGATAGAAAATAAAATAAATTGCAGAGTTAACTTCTACAGGAATATATGGTTTTCATTGCCACCATAACTAGAGGGGAAAAAATCTCAAGAGACTAGATAAAAGTAAGTTAACTTCACATAAAGTCTTCTTCCTTTTCCTCTTCTTCTTTTTCCTCTTCTTCCTTTTCCTCCTCTTCTTCTACCTCTTCTACCTCTTCT